CTACAGTCTGTCCTTGCTCCTGGCTGTCGCATTTGTTGTGGGCCAAGGGTGTTTTTCTGCTAGGGAAGACTGTCCTCCTGGTGAGCAGCCTGTGGCAGCGGCAGGGGTCTGTGCCTCTCTTCCTTCCACACTGGAGCCTAGCACATGCCTCTCCTGGTAGGTCTTGCTTCTGGCACAGCCCTTCTCCCTTTACCTGCTCCTGAGGGGACTGGCACCTTCAGTATTTCTTTATGGCTGGAATAATTTTATCTGGCATAAGTCATTCTTGCTAGGTGTCTAGTCTAGAGTCCTTGGGAGGATGGGAGGTCCTCCCTGCTGCTGTCAATATTGGGAGCCTAGTGAGCAGCTCAGTGCAGAGCCAGGCTTCCTTGGAGATGGATGGACTGTTCTGAGCAAGTGGGTTTTGGCATATCTGCATGCACAAGGCTTGTGGGTTCCTCCTAGGACCGGCCTTACCAGCCGAGGCAGAAGTGCCTGTACTGTCCTGTCTGCCACAGCAGATCTGGGGCTGAAAGCATCAGCTGTGTCCTGCCTGGTACCTTCACCTAGTGGTTAACTGTAGCAGTGCCCATCAGTTTTCTCTCTAATACCCATCTGAAGTTGCAATTCACTGGCTGATCAGAGCTACCCAAGAGGGGTTGTATGATAATCTGCATAATAATATTGGGGAATTAGTTGATTCCTGAAGAATATCTGAGCAACTGGCTATAGGCCATGAGTGAATATGAATTAAATATGTAATGTAATTAGTATCTTTCAAAAAAAATGTCAGGGGTAGGGCTCCGAACATCCGTCTGTTGAGTTTCTTCCCCTGCGTACCACCTCTCTCCTTTTGGGAAAATATGCTGGAGTTCTTCCCCTCCCAGCAGAATAAAGCTGCACTTCTTCCTTAAACACTGGTTATTTGTGTGCTTGGTTCAGAGGAGGAATCCTGCAAGGGGAGCTGCAGCCGCTTCTGTGCAGGAATAGCATCTCTCTGAGCTCCCTTTTTGCAGATCCCTCCCTCTCAGCCGCCCGTGTGTGTGGTGTGGGTTGGCTTGCGCAGCTTTCCCGGGGAACAGCTTGAGTGCAAAGCCCGGGGGAGTGCAGCTTGGTGGGTCGCAGCCGGTTTGCTCGAACGTGGAGCTGAGTTCCCCTCGCTGCAGTGTGTGGAAAGACATGAATGATGGCAGAGAGGCTGGGGGTCGCTGCCTGTGTGCTTGGAAAGTCCTGCACCGCTTTCATGTGGCTAACACGGGAAAGGTCCGCTTGGCACCCACGGAGGCTTGGAGGCTGCTGTGTCCTGTCTATATTTAGTTTTAAGCAAGTTCTGGAGGAGGGGAAGGCTTTTGCTTGAGAAAGCATCCTCTCACTGGGAGCGTGCCGCAGCTTTATTACCATCAGCGTTTGCTTTGGGTTGTGGCAAGGTGTGCACGGACAATGTAGATCTAGCTAGGGAAGGGGCTGAGCAGAGGTGAGGAGCCCTGTCATGCCTCTCCTCTTCCTGCAGATGGGATGTGTCATGCAGGGCAGAGCTAGGGATGGGGCTCAAATCTCAGAATTTCTGTACTGGGATTCATCTATAGCATCATGTCATCTTCTTCAAGTCATCCTCCATTTGCCTCTGCAGTCCTGGGCTTCTCAAGGAAGAAACAATTGTCGTCTTCACCCTTGGGAGCAGCGGTTGCTGGTAGGAGCCAGGCAGTTAAGAGTTGCCAAAGGAAGGAATCGGAGCCCAGACCGTCCCTTCAAATGAGTGCTGAGCGCACGTGTTGGCACCACGCAGTTACCATGCATCCAGGCTGGTTGCAGCCTAGCATGGTACTTCGCAGTCATGCTTTGGTCTGGGCCTTTCTGTGCATCTGCAGACCTCCTCAGAGCCTAACCACCATCGATTCCAGTTATTACAGGATTTTTCGCACTTCTGATTAACATCAGTCACACGTATATAAGCCGTGCTGGTTTGGGAGAAGGGGGTTTAAGCAGGAGACATGCGTCATTAGTTTAGAGGGACGCTCTGGAGGCTGGGAGTTTCTGTTCCCACTGCGCAGGGGAATTTGTAACCTCTGCGTTTCTGGTTTTTCTTCCTCCTTAACATAGGGTGTTTATCCACCAAGGGGAAAAACTGCCTGCCCAGCTGTAGGAGGTATCCAGACTGGCATCAGGGAATGCCCCTCGTGAGCTGTTCTTGTTTCCATCACAAGTGATTGCAGGGAAAGGAGAAACCTTCTTCACTCAGACCTGAAGTGACCGTTATTTCTTACCAGTCCCAAAGAGAAAGCTGCAGGAGTCCTCGCTGAGGTTTGCTGCCCCACCAAGGCAAGCTGAATGCAACTCTTGGGTTGGAGGAACACGCTGTGTCCCCTGCTGTCCCTGTGTCCCACTGCAGTTATGCAGGTATCACATGCGAGTAGTGCCCTGGCCCACAGCTGCTTTCTGCCGGACCAAGGTGACACATGTGCCTCTTCCCAGAGCCCAGAGGTGACAACCCTGCCCACTCAGGCAATATGGTACACTGGACCTGAGCTCTGTCCTGCGAGCAGGACTGGTCATCTTTCTGGTCCTCTTTCTCCACCACTTCTGATAGCTCTCCAAAGCCCACCAGAGAAAAGGAAAGGGCCCGTAGCATCTGCCTGGGTGCTTTTGCAAAGAGGCAAAAAAAAGCATCCAGTGTCTCTGTCACCGAGGGCTACTTTCTCCTTGAGTTTTTCTCACCATTGGATGTCTTGAGTTGTGGGGTAGGGAACAGGAGGGTGATTTTCAGAGCTGATGGGGACTCTTTTCCCCATTTCCAGGATCAGGAGACCAGGGATTAGTATGCATAAGGCAGAAAAAAAGACTGTCTGGAACTGTCTGATGCCCTGAAATGGTTTTGTTGTCTATACGCATGCTGAGGTCCGAGGGGAGAATGTGAGTGCAACTGGTGTGTTGCTTTCACTGATCCAAAGTAAAGGAGCCCTGCTCCTTCCCCTGGGCTGGGAAACAGTTTCTGGTGCAGATCCGTATGGAGCCTGCTGACCTTCAGGCTGGGCATCTGGGTGGCTGAGCTGGAAGGTGCTTTATTCCTAATTGCAAAGGGCCTGGGAAGTTTGATGTCCTCGGCAGCTGTGGCCAAGGCTGAGTGGTGCTGCCCCGTGTCTCCTCGCTGCATGGGCAGCACGGAAAGGCAGCAGCATCCAGGGGAGACAACAGGGGAGGAAAAGTGGAGGAGAGGCACTGTGTACGCCCTGTTTTTGCGAAAGCTATGGGATAAGCTGGATAAGCAATAGGGCTGACACAGGCTGGAGAAGGATGTGGGGAGTGGGAAAACAGAGGAAACAGAGAACGGGCTCTGGCTTTGTCTGTGCGTGCCAAAGGGTGAGCGGCTGGCACTGACTTGCAGTGCTTTGTTTGCCAGCCGTGAGAGGCAGGAGAAGGAGGTGGGATGCTCAGGGAGACCCCATCCCTGACCCAGAACCCAAACTCTGTGCTCTGGGCCACGAGGACTGCTGTCGGGCAGCCTGAGCCGGTTCGCTCTGCAGCAGTGCTGTGCGTGGAGGCTCCAGCCGGGCTGGGGCTGACTCACAGCGCAGTGGTCACAGCCAAGTCAGGTCAGCCTGGCCTGGAGGGGAAGAGACGGTCTCTGGGGATTTTTTTCAAATCTTCCAGCTTCTCAGGCAAACAGCCTTGCCCTCTGCCTGCTGGGGTGACCTCCTCTGCCAGGCATGCCTTCCCCTCCCTGTTCCCTCTCACCACCGCTGTCTTCAGCTCTGCATCTGGAGGTTGCCAGCCAGGTACAGAGCAGATGGTTGAGCCAGTGGGGGGGTGGGAACATGGAAAGAGCTACGGGCAGGCTGGGGCAAGCAAACCTCTTTTTGCAAAGCAGAGCGCTCAGCAGAGAGTATTTGTGGTAACCAAGGCCAGGAGGGGCTGAGCTGGGCACCTGCAGCAAGCATGATTTGCAGGAGGTGAAGCAGCTCAGTTTGGCACCAGGAGCACCCTCTTCTCCTTAAACAGTGGATGCCGCAGGGCAGGAGCAGGGCTGATGCGCAGGGCTCCTGCAGGCAGCAGAGCACTCCCCCGCCGGCCTGACCTTGGCTCTCGCTGGCCGGGGCAGGCGTGCCGGCTGCCAGTTAGTGATGCAGTTAACACCGCTGTGTTGCGCAGCGGCCAAGGACTCACGTGACTAAGGAGAAGGGACTGAAGCAGACTTTGGGATTTGTCTTGGGAGGCAAATCCCAAAGCCTGCTTCAGTCCCTTGTGATGTGCTCTGATTTGTGTCGTGATGGCGGGGGGCCGGCGTGACCCTCAGCCACGCAGCTGGTGCCTGCTGCGCTGCCAGCAGAGAGTCGATGCCGGCCGCCGGCACCCAGCCCTCTCCATGCGGTGTGAGGTGATGGCCGGTTCTTGTGCCAGTGGGCTGGTGGGGCTCTGGCACTGGCAGCCAGAGCCACGTGTGGGCTCTGCAGTGCCCTTAGCCTCACTGTGCCAAGAAGCACCAGAATATGTTCGCGGCTGCTCCCTGGCAGCTGTGGCAGGGATCCCTGATAAAGTCCCAGAGCTCTCCTCCTGGTGTCTTTTCATCCTGGGCTTTGTTTAAGGTATGAAAACAACCTTGCTCTCACTTTCTGAGGATTGTCTCCGTCCCTGCCCATGCAGTGGTGGAGTTGCTGGGCTGGACCAGGGCTGGGGGAACCAAGGCCCTGAGACTGCCTCCCAGGAGGGTGTCACACACAGCTCTGCTCCCTGGGGAGCTGCTGGGCAGGCCGGAGCTGGCTGCAGGGGCCCTGGGCGTGCGGCTGAACCCAGGCGGCAGCTGAGTGGTTTCCTGCTGCAGTGCGTGCCCAGAATAGGAGCTGTGAGCAGGCCATAGTGACAGAGGAGAGGGAGGCAGGGAGCAAGCTTGGTGCTGCTTTCACACTGAAGGGCCCCTTGGTGATGCCCCTGGAGCACTTTTCCCTCAGTGGCTTTGGGCTGTGCCTTTGAGGGGACCACAAACTCTCAGCTGGAGGTCCAGCAAGCAGTGCCCCGTGCACCCATGAATGGCTATTACCTGGGGACATCCTCCCTGCGTGGCTCAGACACCGCTTGCTGCTGACTTGCCTACTTTGCTCTTCCTTTCTCAGTCCTCAGTATGCTCCAAGATCGTCCAGCTGCTGGGCCAGAATGAGGTGGACTACCGCCAGAAGCAGGTGGTGATCGTCAGCCAAGACAGCTTCTACCGCGTCCTCACCTCAGAGCAGAAATCCAAAGCGCTCAAAGGCCAGTTCAATTTTGACCACCCAGGTGAATGGAGAACAGCACTGGGGCTCTACTGGGCAGTGGGGGGCGAGGGCTGGAGCAGGACCTCCCACTCCACCGGCAAAGAGCCTTGCATGGACCCTGGGACTGTCTCTGCTTGGGGCAGGAGCGGGTGGCTTAGTTAAGCTCTTCTGGAGCTGGGTACATGGGTGGCTGGGGGGCACCCGTGTGCCCTGCCTGCCTCTGGGGTGAAGTGTTTGGGATGAGAAAGGACAGGTTGTGAACCTTCAAACTCCTTAAGATGCTCCTCTTCTCCCTGCAAAAACATTCCCCAGTGTGAAAACCTTTGTGGTGCCACTGGGTTGGGACCAGGGAGATCTGGCCTGGCACAGCCCCCTGGAGCCAGCAGCTCCGTGTCCCTCCTTCAAGGAGGGAACCGTCTTGTGCAGCTGCTCTGCAAACCCCTCCGCTGAGGGGGCCGTGTCCTGTTGCTACAACAGGGGGTCTTTGAACTGTCTCTGGGCTTGGGGAAATTTCAGAGCCGCTGTCCCTTCGTCCCCACAAGGACAATGGCTGGAGGCAGCAAGCACTGGGCAAACAGAGCCCTGTCTGTCCGGCCGCTCGAGGCTGAAACACTGCTCCAGTCTCTCCGAGGGCTGGAGCTCCGGAGGAGCTGCCCGGGCTGTCAGCACCGCCATACAAGGATGGTATTGATCTCTGCGGGCCAGATCCTAGGCTGGTGCAAAGCAGTGAAGCCACAGGGGCTCTAGGAGAGCTGGGCCTTGCTAAGCCTGTGGGGACGTGCAGGGCTTTCCTCCTGAGTCTGTGCATCTGTCTGTCCCCAGTGTGGGGTATCAGTAAGGCTAAGCTCAGCATCTGGTGGGTGGGAGAGGTTGCAAAGCTGCCTCGGGTAACGTTTCCTCTCTCCTCAGATGCCTTTGACAACGAGCTGATCGTGAAAACGCTCAAAGACATCACGGAAGGGAAGACGGTCCAGATTCCCGTCTATGACTTTGTCTCCCACTCCAGGTCTAACAGCTGCCCCTGCCTCGCTGTGCCTCTGCTAACGCCCCGCGGCGCAGCACGCAGCCTTGCCAGCCCAAACCGCCTGCCCGTCTGCTTGTGCCCACTCTTAGGCACCTCATGTGCCAACCAAAAGTTTCAATGCTAACTACTCCAAACCCCTTGTTTAGAGGATCCAGGGCAGATACAGGTGCAGTCTGAGGGTCTGGAAAGCTGTGCAGCCATGCAGTTGCATCCAGCAATGTGCAGGCATCAGTGGAGTGGGGTTATGGCCCTCCTTTTCTTCCCCCACCCACACTTCCTCTCCCCATAAACTCTGTGTTAGCAGCTTTAACAAGTATTCCAGGCACAAAGAGCTCGGCACTGCCAGGAAAGGAGGAGGATGACAGTTCTTGCTCCTGTAACTCTTCACTTGCATGTGTTCAGCTTGTTTTTGCATGCCTGTGTTGGTTGTGGATGGTGTGACCCTGCTCCATTTCCCACAAAAGCGCTGTGGTGTCAGGGGAGTGCTGCCTGGTTCCCAGGGGAGCAGAGCTGGCCCTTGCAGGTTCCTGTGGGTCAAGCCCATATGCATAGGTTTTATGGGCTCTATGGCTTGGCACATAACACTTGCAAGCAGCAGCTGGCCAAGGTGGGGGGGAGAAGGGCTAGTCTGCTTCCTGCTCTGCCGTTTGTCCTTCTAGGAAGTGTACGTATTCCTTGGATTCCCTTCAGTGCGGTGGGGTAGGTCTGCCCTCGGTCGCCCCCCTGGTGCAGCAGTGATGTGCCAGGGTTGGAGCAGTGCCTAGGAGCACCACTGTTTCCCCCCACCTCTAATGGCTTGTTTCCCCCCCACCCCGCAGCGTATTTTGACTGTCCTTCCCTCTGATAGGAAAGAGGAGACGGTGACTGTCTACCCTGCCGACGTGGTGCTCTTCGAAGGCATCCTGGCCTTCTACAGCCAGGAGGTGCGGGATCTCTTCCGCATGAAGCTCTTTGTGGACACGGATGCAGACACCCGGCTGTCCCGCAGAGGTGAGGCCTTGTGCAGGAGGGACAGAAATGTCACTTAACTGATCTGGGCAGCTGGTGGCAGAGGCAGGTGGCAGTGACTGGAGCAGAACTGGCATTGGCATGAAGCTGTGCTGCTGCTAGCAAAGAGCCAGGGAGCTTTTCCTCCCCGGTGCAGCATGTCACATAGGGCAGCTTATGGCAGTGGGGGGGGAGCACCTTGCTCCATGTTATTTAGGTTTCAGTGGGGCTTTTGCTGCTTTGTCTGGGATTCCTCCTTTGATGCATGCAGCAGTCTAACTACGGAGCGTGCTGTGTCCTCACGTGGCCCTGTGGCACCAGCCCTCCCCAGCCCTGTGCCAGCAGCTGAAAGGCAGCTGCTGCCAGCAGCAGGGAAGGGTGCAGTGGGCATGGCAGAGCGGCTTGACAGCTCAGTCAGAAGGCAGTGCCTGATGGATCTGCTCAGGACCTGGGGTATGGGTGTGCTCCAAGGATGGCATTTGGGTGTGAGGGTGTCCATTGTGGATGATGCAGATAAGGAGTTTGGGTTTACATCTTGTTCTGTGCAAGCGCAGCCAGTGTGGCGTGGAGCCTCTTTGTGGTACTTGGCACTAGGGTGACAGCTCTGGGGGCAAAGAGCCCTAGAAACCAGAATATCCCTCTCTAAGACTCCCCATGTACAGCTGGCTTGGCTGTGGGTTGTCAGCTGACATAGGAGGGACTCCAGCTCTGCAGGGTCTGCATGATTTGAGTTGCAGTTTGTTTCAGAGCAGCCTTTAGGAGCAAGATCACTGATGTAGCGCCTGAGTCTCCTGGATGACTAAGAAAGTGGCTCTTGAGGCAGAATTCAGTTGTGTCTGAACTGTCCCTACCCCTGCCTGGCTCCAGCAGCCTCCACAGGGTGTATAGGGATGCAGAAGGTGACTTAGAGGAGAGATTCCATCCAGACCTCTGTGCTGTGACGAGAGGAGCGTGTCTGTCAGCCTGGGACTGTTCCGCTCTGCAATAGAACTGGTCTTGCCTGCCGTCCTCCTGTCAGATACACAGCCTCCTGCGCTGTTGGGATGTCATCAGTGCTGATTAAAAGCTCCGTTCTACGCATCCTTCTTGACCCTGCCCACTGTTCTTGCATGACTCATCCAGGGAGGTGACAGCACAGTCATTGCAGGGAGACGTATTAGCAGGTCACGGATACGCATTTGCAAGATCCCACGACGTGAGCCTTATCCCTTAAGCAGGCTGTGCTGTGCAGGAACTTGGGTTCACACCCAGCCATGGGATAGCACACGTTTTTGGCAGTGCCCTGTATCAGCTGTCTGAAGGCAAGGCGTTGCCTTGTGCATTTGCAGCGCCACATGACCGTGTGTGCATCGCAATCGTACTTGGAGTGTGTGGTTCAGTCTCTTCGGACTTGGTAACTGCAAGCTCAGGACTTGAGAACTGTTTGAGATCCCATCAGCTAAGAACCGAGACCATCCGGCTGCCGACCACAGTACAGAGCTAAACCCTGTGGTGCTGCAGCTGTTGGATGGGGTCCTGAGCCACATGGGCCCAGGCCATTCTTGGGGTGTTTCTCCCACCCATGAACAATTGGTAAAGCCTTGCAAAGGGGCAGCTAGGCTGGCTGAAGGTGCTGGTGTCTCCTAGTTAGGGCAACTCATTGGCCTTCTGATAGGGAACTGACCATTCGGCAGTCTCCTGCCCTGCCGTCAGCAGTTGGTAGGACCACTGCAGCAGCAAATCTGTTTCCTGTAAGTCTCCCTGGTATTTCTGGGAAAGAAGAGCCTGCGTGTGAGGTGCTGAAGGTATAATCATGTCCCTGAAACGTAGCTGGAGGCAGCTTGTAGCAAATGTCGGGATCTTGCATTGCGACATGGCTCTGAGTCATCTTGCTCTCTCAGAAGTCCTGAAGAGTTGCAGCAATGGGCTTTTCAGCTGGGCAGCAGCGGGAGATGGGGTTCCTGGAAATGCAGCTGACAGCTCAGTTAATCAATAGCACTGGGATTCAGCACGTGCAACTTACACTGTCCTCATCTCAGCCCCTCTCCCAAGAAAAACACTGCTACCAGAGTGCAAGGGGCAAGGTCTGTAAGGTGCCTCAAACAGCCTAATCTGTGCAAAGCTGATTCTGGCTGCGGTCCCTTGCTGCCCTGTCCTCAGCTAGCTTCCATAAAAAAAAGAACAAGTCAGGTGCCACATGCATGTTTTGGGCCAGATTTGGGTGATGCCTGCCTTCTGGCTCTGGATGGGTGCTGATCCATCTGATCTTGGGACATTTGCCTGCCCTGCGAGTAGAGGGTGATACCTCCAGATAGGGCGCATGGTCTTAGCCTGGGTTGCTGGGACCCGTTGCTTTGGGGCCAGGTACAAGACAGTGGGTGCTTGACTTGTGTTGTGTGGAGGGTGATTGCCCTGCTGTGGTCTGCCCTGGGAGCGAGCAAGAGAGGTTTGCCCTGTCAGGACCAGCCCCTGCAGCCTAGGCACTTACCCTGTGCAGCTTGCAGGCCTCCTGCACGCTGTCCCAGGCCGGGTGTGCTGCAAATACACCCTTGCTGTGCTCCTTCTCCACCCCAGAGCAGCCAACAAACAGGGTGTGGGACCGGGGAAACAAAAGTCTCTCTGTTTTATTTTCCTTGTCTGTTTTTCTGTATTGTTTGAGCTGGGGCTTGCTCCTGCTCTCTGGAGAAGGCAAGGAGCTGGCTAGAGCAGCCTGGGCTGGGCTGAGCTGTTCCTGGAGCAGGCAGGGAGCTGGCACCCACCCTGCTGCCAGCCCTTTCTTCCCCCCCATCACCTCCCTTGCGCAGGGCTGCAAAAAGGCATGCTGCAAAGCTGCTGGCGAAGGGCAAACAGAGCCCCGGGGACAGTGCCAAACCAGGACTGGGAGAACAGCACTGTCCTGGCCCTGTAAGCACATGGGAACTGGCTGCCGAGCAGGTCATGCAGGCTGGCAGTGCCACAGCTCAGCTCTGGCATGTGGAGAAGGCTTGCTCCAAACCCAGTGCCAGGCGCTAGCACGCTGGGGAAAGGGCACTTTTACACACTGAAGTGGCTTCAGACCAGAGATGGCAGTGGCCCAAATACCTCGTGCAAACAGGGTGTAAGGCCCAAATGGCAGAGCAAGCGGGAGGCCAGCTTGCTCTCCTGCCTCCTGGCTTCCTCCTGAGCTGATCTCCTCCAGGCACCCCCTCAGCCTCTGGTTGTGGGAGCCTGCTTCGCCTTCCCATCCCACTCAGCTGGTGACAGCACAGGGAGCCTGGCAGAGCTGGGTGAATGAGTGAGTTTTACTCTCCTCACCTCTGAAGACCCAAGTTAAACTGTGCCTTAATGTGTGTATGGGTGAACCCCTCTGCTTTTCTAGTCTTTGGGCACCTCTGCACTGGGACGACTGGGAGAATACCCCATCCTTAGGCCAAGGGCAGGGCAGAGTGGCAGGAGGGATGCAAGAGCTGAGGCTGGGAACAGTCAGGACTGGGGGTGGCACTGGTTACAGCTGGAATGTGCTTGCAGAGATGAGAAGGGAGGGAGGCCAAGAAAAGCCCTTGGTCAGGTCAGCCAGCCCTTGGCTCCTGGGAAGGCTTGGAAGTGGGTTAAAAGCATGTAGCTGGGCTGGCGTGTGCTCGGGCATGTGGGCAGCAGCTTCCAGGAACAGAGACCTCAGGCAGAATACCTGGGTGGCTAGCCAAAGGCTGTACCGAAGGGAAGGGAGATGGAGTGATTCACATCTCAGCTCTTGACTGTGCCTTACATCTTCTCTGCAGTGCTACGAGACATCAGTGAGCGAGGCAGGGACCTCGAGCAGATCTTATCCCAGTACATCACCTTCGTCAAGCCTGCCTTCGAGGAGTTCTGTTTGCCAGTAAGTAAGGGGAGTGACACCCACGGGAGTCTGCCAAAAATGCCTCATACCCTGCCTAGCTCCTCAGACAGGAGCATTTTGTGCCCCAGAGCTCAGGTCAGCCTGCCTCACCTTGCTCCCTCCCTGTAGGCACTGGCAAAAATGGGGGCGCCAATACTGGCTGGGGCAGGGCAAGGTGGGGACTATTTATAAAGCCACTGCTTTCCTGGTGAGATCACCCTCCCCTGTGGGAAGGCCGACACGCAAGAGAAACCCCTCCCCGCACAAGGTCTGACAAACCAACACCAGGCAGCTCAGCAGAGGGATGATCCTTGGCTGCATCTAGCTGGGTAAGGGGAGATCCCTGCCCACAGGCAGTGTCCGCTGTGTCTGCCTCCTGTTCTGGGCTGTCCTGCCTGCCCTTTTCACCCTGCAGGGCTGCTGGCTTCTTGCTGGCTGGATGCTTGGGAGAGAAGGGGAGCTTCGTCCTTTGCTCTGTGCTGTGGGATGTGGCCTTGCAGGTTGCATTTCCTGGCTGGTGAGAGGCCAAGGTGTAGAGCAGACAGACCTTGCTCAGGGCCAGGGTTGCAAAATCTCTGCCTGGAGAAAGGAAGCTCCTTTGGGAGCTGATAACCGAGGTAAGGCTCCCTAGCAGACAGGGACTTTGCACGTGGGAGACCACTACAGCCCTTCAGAACTTGCAGGAGAAATGGCACGTTTGCAAGACTAGCCATTGCACACCTCTCGTGGAGAGGAGCCTGCGCCTTGGTTTTCAAGGCTTTTCCAGCAGATGTGGTAGTTATATGAGGAATTTGTTCTTATTCTGGAGAAACTGAGCCAGCAGAGCTCTGCAGCCTGGGAACTGTTGGCCAGCACCACAGGCAGGAATTGACCTGTGCCTCCAGCCTCAGGAGCATTTCTGTGCCTGTCTGTGTGGCCAGCTCTGCCCATTCCCATACAAGGGGCTGATTCTTTCTGTGCTACAAGATCTTTTCCTGGCTCCTGGACAGCACCTTTCTCTCTGTCTCAGTTGTGGCTCTGACGTCCAAGGTCCAATTCCAGTGTAATCCCAGAAAGGCTTTTTCTGAGAGGTGGGTCCAGCTTGGTGGTTCCTCTCCTTGCAAGTCTCCAGCAAGGTAATCTGCAGCTTTGCAAAGCAGCAGATGCTGCATCAGTCTCTTCTGTTGAAGAGTCTGTAGGAGGATGAAATGTGAAGCAAGGAGTGTAGAAAACCACTGCTTTGTCCTTACCCACCAGCTTTACAGTGGTCTGCTCCCACTTCCAACCCGATAGTGGGCTCAACTGCAGAGCAATTCCATGCAGATGTTGAGCAGGCTCGGCACCCACTGTTGCTGTTGAGCTGACTCCCAAGCCAGCTCTGGGCCAGGTGGTCCAGCACTGTAATGGTCCAGCATGTCCTGGTGATTTTTGATATGGCTGGAAGCACCGGAAAGTGTCAGATGATGCTCTTCACCCAGCGGGCCGACTTGTTTACTGATGGTACTGTCAGGAAGCTGATCAGCTGTAAAAGCTGACACAAATAGGGGAAGAAACGGAGACTGGCACCTGCAGGTGAAAATAGGTCAGGACTGGTGTCCTGAATCAGACTTGTTTTGCCAGTGATGCTGGTAGAAAATTCTCCCCACATCCCAAGCAGGTCACATGGCTGTGCCCCACACATCCACATGGCCCAGGCATGCCAACTCTTGCTCTTGTAATAAGAGTGGCTGGATTCAGAGGGGAGGTTGTTCCCAAAAGCATCAGCTGCTGGAGTCTTGTGATTGTGAGGCTTTTTAATTTCAGGTCTTGTTAGGGTGCCTCTTACTGGAATTTGTATGAGCCCGTGAAAGTGGAGTCAAGGCACAAAGCATGGCCCTAGAAACACGGAGCAGAAGACAAATAAGAGCATCCAAGTTTTATTATCAGCAATGACATACTTCCCAGTGGGTCTGGGTTTGGCAAGGGGGGGGGAGGGACCTGCCCCAGGAAGCAGGGACAGTGCCCTGGCCTGATGGGTCTCCACTTTCTCCGTAACGCAGTGCTCTCTCTCCTCCCAGACCAAGAAGTATGCTGACGTGATCATTCCCAGAGGAGCAGATAATGAAGGTGAGTGGACCCAGACCCTGCTGTTACATCCTGGCAGCCAGCTTTGGGCTGTTGCTGTTGTGGTGGGATTAAGTAGGAGGTAGCAGGACCTTCCACGGAGGTGACTCGGGCCACTGCCACCCGAAAGAGTCCTGTTACCACACAGGTGCTGAGATGAGCCTCTCCCCTTTGCTCCTGCCTGGAGCATTAGAGACTGGGAGTTTGTGCTCCTCTGATCAAGCCTGGGAGCCCATCTGTGTGCTGTGCCTCCAGGCAAACTCCTGGTTCATCCCATGCAAAGGGAAATGTGCTTCTCTGAGGCCACATGTGCAGCTGGGACAGCCAGGTCTCCACCTGGCTGGAATCAGCCTGACCATACTGGCTTGAGTGCCAAGGCTCAGCCAGGGCAGAGGGACGAAGTCCCAGCAGGGCAGCTCCTCCCCGCAGGGTTGCAGTTCCCCACCATGTGATGGGAGCAGGGGAGACAGCTGGGTCACCGTCTCTGGCTTGGCTCTAGTTTATTTGCATTGATCCTAATGCAATCTCTCTCCTGTGTCTTTCCCTCCCTTTTGCTCACAGTGGCCATAAACCTGATAGTGCAGCACATCCAGGACATTCTTAATGGAGGACTCAGCAAACGCCAGAGCAACGGCTACCTGAATGGCTACACCCCCCCCCGCCACCAGCAGCCCTCAGAGTCCAGCAGCCGGCCTCACTGACCCTGGGCGGCAGGCGTGAGGCTGGGGGCGGGGGGGGCTCGGGCCCTGCCACTGCCCCTCTGTACATACTGTCCGTTCATTCCCCCCTTATCTATTTAAGAAACCAGACGGAGACGAATGCCTTTAATTTTGTATGTTGGAAATGCCGAATGAGAAGCAGCCGGCTGCTCGGGAGCCTGGACCGCCCACAGCTCCTGGCCTTGCTCAATAACTGCTCCAGCACGGAACCGGCTATAAATCTCTATAAATATAGAATTGCTCTATTTTTGTGTAAATGCAGAATAACGTAAAATTACTTGCCATAAGGTATTTGCCAGGCTCAGTGTTGCTGGGAGGGGGCTGAGAAGAGGGTCCTGGGAGATGCTGGTGTCAGGATCCTCACCAAAAAGGCGGTAAGGAAGGAAGAGCATTTCACAGCTGCTTTAATACTGCAGCGGTCTCCATCCTGGGGAAGGGACAGGCTGTGTTGGAGGTGGCAGCTTGAGTGTGGCATGGATTTTGTGACTGGGCTGGGGTTGCCTCCTCCTGCCATTGCTGTTCAGGTCCGAGCAGCCTGGTTTTGGCTGGCAGGCACTGCATAATTGCCACTGGGATTTGGGAGAATGATGTGTACTACCTCCCCTGACTGTCTCTGCACCTCCAGGTCTTGGTCCCTCAACAGCATTCCTTTCTGTGTCTGACAGCCCTTCCCACCACGGGTGTGGTCTGCTGCCTCACCCTCCAGTAAGGACCTGGTAGGTGATGCTGGGTATGTCATCATGTAAACATGGCAGCTTGCAACTTGAGCACTCTCGCTGCCTGGCTTCGGTGGGGATGATGTGTGGATACCTTCAAGCACTCTGGAGCTCAGTGGCCACGTGTGTGGTAGAAGTCCTAGACGAGCCCTGGGCTCAACCGTAAGCCTGGAGGTTGGCTTGCAGAAGGTCAGAGTTGTGTCTGTCATTCCTCACTTGGAACAGTTTTGCTTTTGGATGGGTGATTGTGGGTCTGTAAAATATGGTTAAGGGAGAACCAACCTCTTCTGAAAGAAAGGGGCAATGGAGGATGAAAGGCAGCTGCTGAGTAGCCTGTCTGAGGTGGGGGGCAGCAGTGTGTAGCAGTCCCTGGGCTACCTAGCATCCCCATATGGGACATCCACAGGTCCCAGCTGGGTAGCATGAAACTGGATGCCCAGGAGTCCTCTGCTCCCCTTTTTCACAGCATGTTCTTGCCTGGCCCCTGTGTCCCTTTCATTGCGTCCTGGTGGAGGACACTCTGTCCTTGCACTATGCTGTCCCCAGGGCTGCCCAGGGAGTGCCTTCCCTTGCTCAGGGTGAGAATTGGTCTCCCCTAATGTGAGAGAGAGAACCTGGGAGAGCATCTGGTGGAGCTGTACTGCAGGTTGGGGATGCCTGGACAGCAAGGTGGGGCAGCTGGGCTGGGGCAGAGGCTTGGTGGGAGCCAGGGAAGGGGGTGTGGTGGGATGATAGCCAGGAAAGATCCTTTGGCCCGTGCTGCTGGGACTGACTTGCTCGACTGAAAACAAGCTTTCATAGGCATCCCATGAAGCCTGGAGCAGGGACCCTTAGCCTTGCTCCCTCTGAGCATTTTCAGTCTTTCCAGAGCATTGATTTTGCCCTGCATGGTTAAAAGCTTCAGACCTTAGACACTCAGTGCTCCATTGCTCCCCAGCCCCATGTGAGCTGAGACAAGCTTTGATTTTTAACAGAGAGACTAAGAAAGGAAACGCCTCTCGCAGTGACCACTGCTGGGGCAGACTCATTCCCTCTTGATCTGTGATGGGAGCACATGGCAGCCCTTTATCCCCCTCCCTGTCTGCAGACACTTCCCGAGGCATGTAGGCTTTGCCGTAATCATGGTCTGGCACTGGCTAATTCTAGGTACAGCCATGTACCTAGAGGGACCAAAGCCTTGCAGAACTGGTGAGGCTTCTGAGGGCTTGAGCAGCCAAGACAGCTCTCAAGATGCAATACTGGCCTCCTCTCCCCTGTAAATAAAGACAGAACAAATGGATGCCGGTGTTTCTTGTCTCCTGTTTGGTGCTGCATGTTGCTGGCTGCGGTCCCAGTGTGGAAGCAGACTTGTCCAACATTGTCTTAGTTCTGCAAGTCAAAGCCAGACCTGACACAAAGCTCCTGGCACAGACTGGTGAAGAAGGAGGTGATGAAGGCAGTGCCTCTGGCTTGTGGCTGGCCGGCCAGCTCTCGGCAAGTCCTGGTGCGCACAGGGCTTGGAGTGATTTTGAGAAACCCCTCTGCTCTCAGGATAGCAGAGAGATGGACAAGTTCAGCCCTTCCCAGTAAGTCTCTTGGACAGATGACAGTCAAGTGAATTTCATCAAAAGACCTTACAGGCAGGGTGGCATTAGCGTTGGGTATCAGGCAAGGGTGAGACTGCTTTTAGCAAATGGGTAAATCACTTTGTGGCAAATCACTTTATGTCGGCATGGATTCACGAAGGGGAAGTCATGCTTAAGCAATCTGATAAACCTCTGTGATGAAATGACTGGTCTGGTAGATGAGGGAAGAGCAGCGCATATTGTCTACCTTGATTTCTGTCAGGCTTTTGATATGGTCTCCCATAAGATCCTCATAGCTAAGCTGTTGATGTATGGGCTGGATGAGCAGTGAGATAGACTGAAAACTGAATGGCTGGGCCCAAGGGTGTGGTGATCAGTGGTATGAAATCTGGCTGAAGACGAGTGACTAGTGGTGTAGCCCAGGGCTCAATAGTAGGTCCAGTCCTGTTCAACATCTTCATTCAAGGCCTGGGTGATGGGGCAAAGTGTACCCTCAGCAAGTCTGCTGATGACTGGGAGGAGTAGCTGGTACACCAAAGTGTTGTGCTGCCATCCAGAGGGACCTTGACACGCTAGAGAAATGGGTTGACAGAAACCTTTTGATGTTCAAGAAATGCACTTGGGGAAGAACAATCCCATGCACCAGTACGTGCTGGGGGCCACCCATCTGGAAAGCAATTTTGCAGAAAAGGCCTTGAGGGTCCTGGTTAACTGCAAGCCAGCAACATGCCCTTGCAGCAAAGAGGTCTAATGGTATCCTGGGTTGCATTAGGGGAAGTGTTGCCAGCAGGTCAAGGGAGGTGATCCTTCCCCTCCGCTCAGGTGAGGCCACACATGAGTATTGTGTCCAGTTCTGGGTTCCCCAGTACAAGAGAGAGATGGAACTACTGGTGAGAGTCCAGCAAAGGGTCATGAAGATAATGATGAAGGGACTGGAGCATCTCTCCTGTGAGGAAAGCCTGAGAGAGCTGGGACTGTTCAGACTGCAGAACAGAAGGCTGAGGGGGAATCTTATTAATGTATATAAATACCAGAAGGGAGTGTGAAAAGGGGGCAGAGCCAGTGACAGGACATGAGGCAATGGGCACAAACTGAAACACAGGACATTCCTGTCTTTCATTTCCATCAGGAAACACTTTTTTGCTGTGAGGATAACTGAGCACTGGCACAGGTTGCCCAGAGATGCTGTGTAGTCTCCATCCTTGGAGATACTCAAAAGCTGTCTGGACAAGGTCCTGGGAAACTGGCTCTAGGCAGCCCTGCCTGAGCTCCTGCTGTCAGGTTAGACAAAATGACCTCCAGAGGTGCCTTCCTCAGCCATTCTGTGAATTTTAAAGTATTTCCAACATTAAGAAATGCAAAGGCTTTCCTGCTGTCGGCTTCCTTAGTCACAAGCATGACCTTTCTGTACCTGCATCAGGCTTCTGGAAGGCCTTGGTAGATTGCACAGGTGGGCCACTGTGCTCCAGATTCAGCTGGGAGATGAGTTGTTGCAAGCTTTATGGCTTCTCCTGTGTCCCTGTCCCCCCTCATGGGGACTTCCAGCACAGCTGCCCATGAAGTTTCACCTTATGTGAGGCTTGAACTTTTTAACGTGGCATTAAAAGAGCACTGAGCATGAGGAAGGAGGGGATGGGGGAGATGGTGATGCTGGGTGGGCGCACTATGGGTCCTACATCTGGGAAGCTTTTAGAGAATTCTAGACCACAGCAGTCAGGCATGTTTTCACAAGAGACTACCACAGCCTTCGCTCAAGCTAAGCAGAGTAACAGCTGCCCCAGGCTTGGTGCAGTTCCTTTTCTCAAAATCTGCATTTTCCTTCACAGCTACAGAGGAGAGGAGCATCAGGCTTTGGTGGGTCTCTCCTCTCCTGATTGTGCTACTGCCAAGGTGGGGACAGGATTGCTCTGGTGAAGAGCTTGCATCTGGCTATGACCATAGCTACGATCAGCACTCCCAGCTCTCCAGCCTCACTGTCTTGCTGCATCCTTGTGAGCTACTGCTGCCTCTGTCTTAGAGAAAAGAGATGGGATGCTGTTGCAGCTGAGACAGATAGTCTGTTGTTCATCTTTGGAGGGGAATATTGAAATGCTACTCAGATCTGACCATGGTAGGGGATTAAAGTTGAGACCAGTATCCACAGGGCTCCCCAATATTTCTTACAAGGTTGGCTTTCTCCCCTGGCCACCTGGCTGCTGTCTAGCTGTCGGTTCAGAGGATCATGTACATCTGCAGAAACAGTCACCACTCCTCAAAGGAGACAACTACATGGGCCAAAACACCATGCTTTGCAATAAGCCTGGCTTGCACCACTGCCATTCATGTTGCTGCTTCCCTGGATCCCCTCGGTACCAAAATGACACGTGAAACAGGAAAAACACACTTTATCAATCTGAAGAGTGCTAGAACATTGAGCAAGCAGGCTGGTCCCAGCAGGAGTTTTGTCAAGTTTCCCAGCTGTCTCTGCTGCATGGCCATGCTCTGGCTGTCTGCTTCGGGGAGGCAGAGATGAGGCCTGGCCTTTGGGATGCCAGTGGGCCCTGGCAGCACCTTTTGGAGGGTGGAAAAGGGGACCCTCTTGCAGAGGTCCTCACCAGAGAGTTGCCAATGCTGATTAGCTGTTGTGCCAGGTGGGCATGGGCAACCCACCAGGACATGGCTACCCAGTGGCTATCCCACAGGAACATGATCACTGGGGCAACAATGGCCTCCAGCCAGCAGAATGCTAAATCCAATGATGCTCTTCCACTTGGAGGCCTTCCTCTCAGTGACATTGGGTAGCTGCTTCTGGTCCTCAGAAAGGACTGCTTTCCACTTGAGGTGGATGGAAAGGCCAAGGCCACCAGGGAACAGAGACACCATGCAGAAAGCCAAGGTCAGGGAGAGAACCAGGC